AATATCGTAGAATACTTGAAAACAAAGAAAAACGGCAAAAAGGGGGGGGGGAGGAGGGGAATAAGAGCAAAATTTAGCCAATGCAAAATCTGTATACAATATGTGAGAGAGGACGGAGAGAGACAGGGAGAATGAGCGAGGGGCGGGAGAGAGAGAAGTAAAAAAGGATACCGGAGCAACATAAAGAAATCAATTCGAAAATAAAGAGAGTATCTGCCGAAGCGGCACATACATATATTCATACGGGAGCGGCGCGCGCTTACATACTACGGGGCCCGTTTCTCTCTTTTCTCGTGCCTCCGCGTTTACAGCCGTGTGCCGGCAACGTACACATATGCGCGTGCGTTGCGCTCTGGGCCCGTAGTGGGGATATGCGGCGTGCGCCACTCGGGGTCCGATAGTGGGGATGAGAAGACGGCGACTCGCGCGCGCGTACGTGCACCCTTCTCTGTCCCACCACTTCCCTGCGTCGTTCCCTCGCACGCTCACTCTCTCTCTCTCCCCATCCCTTCTTTTTTTTCCGCTTGTCTCTTCGAGACCGATCTCCCTTTGCGTATTTTCCCCTCTTCTTTCAAAGTCTCTCGCTGAGCCTTTCTCCCCCTTTTTTCTATAATGTATTCTCTCTCTCTCTCTCTCTCTCTCTCTCTCTCTCTCTCCCATCGCTTTTTTCTCTCGTGTCTTTTATACCTTTCGGTCCTCTTTCAGATGTTTCCTTTCTCTCTCTCTCGATATTCAGCTTCCCTGCACACGCGAGTTCTTTTTGGGTTTTCGTCTATCTCTGTCTCTGTTACTTTAGACTCGTACGCTCGTAACTTCGTTGCCTTTCTTTCTTCAAATGTGCCGTACGTGTGCACTAAATAAGAAATGTCGCAATCGTCATCGGGTAATCCCAAAAAAATGTACAATAATATATGTATTTTAGCCTCTCATTTTATCAACCCTTTAACACTCCGTCCGATTTTATGCACAAACGCCTATTTATTTTATTTAACCTAACAATGATTGAATTATTGTGCTACGCTATTTTTCAGCCACTTTCAAATGCATATGAGCAACATTAAGTTCAGCGCACGAACGTCACACGCGCCTCTGCTGCTTAATAATCGGGTAAAGTGTTTTTTTAAGTGAGAGCCATCGCCCTTAAATTTCACTGGAGAAAATAGTCCTCCGTTTGATTATGAAAATGTTTTATACCTAATAACATTCCTAAAATCATCTTATCATTTTCTCTTAAAACTTATCTCGCTCCTAGCATTATTAGCTCTCTTAAGCTTCGCCGTTCTATGGCTTTCTTCTTTCCTCTATCTCGCCTCCTCTGTTGTCTCTTTTTCGCTCCTCCTTTTCTACCTTGTTTTATCTGTCGGAACCAGCGCCAAGAGCTACTCTCCGTCGAGTAGTGCCGAGTTCGCGCGACTCCCCCTTCCGCTTTTTCGGGGCCTGCTGCCGGGCGCGCGCGCGCGGTTCTTCCACCCCTCCCCTCCCGCCCGACCCTTGCCACTCCGCATTCAGGACCAGTCCATGTTTTGCTGCCGGTAACTGTTCGAATTTCATTTGGAGCGCGCGCGTATGAGGAGAAAGGCACGAGGGCGGCGGCGGCGGCGGTGGCGGTGGCGGCTGCTGCAGCAGTGCCGATGCCTGCAGGGGGACGAGGAGGAGGGCGACGAGGCGGTCGCCGATGTGCGGCGGTGTGGGGAGGGGAGAAGGTAGAGCCGCAGATTCGGGCGCGTGGGGATGCTGCTGACTGATGTAGGACCCACGGCTCGGCTGGGCTCTGCCGCCGTCTCGTACGCGGCTCCCAGTGCTTCTCAATTCGATTTGCTTCTCTCGCTGCTGGCTACACGGGCTTTCTCATCGGCCCTTTGTATTATTGAAATTAAGTCCCTTCCTGGATTCTTCTAACGAGCTTAGCGTTTCGCAATTGTTAGTCGTAGGAATATTTATCGTTAGGCCGATGTCGAACGTGCATTCGTATTAATGAAGTTGTTGCCTTCCAACGCGCCGATGAATTTATAAACGACATTCTCGGAAAAGATATGTCCATGTTAATCGTGCTATTTGATTCAATGGAAAGAGTTACATTGGTCCCTCGACTCTTATATTAATCGATCCGATTTTCGGCCTTCGCTTAACTCCTAGCTGCTTGGTTTTAAGGCCATCCCTTTCCATTATCCTGGCACATCACATCGATCCTGCCCGTCGTCCCAGCATGTTTAAAAGACTTTTCAAGCTGCGTAGCAAAGCTAACGGCACGCCGACTCGCGAAGACGTATTTATTTGTAAATGTGATTGCGATTTAGCACTGGCTTAAGCAAGCTAACAGCAAAAGCAGGGACTCCGCGGAGCCAGAGCACGAAACAAATGAACGAAACAAAGGAAAAATCCTAATAAATAATAAGGGACGACGTGAACGAGTGTAAAGATGAAGTAGTCGTTGAGATTCGAGAATCGAGAATTAAAAGTTATAAAATAAACAAACTCAGCTCGGATTGAGTCGTCCGATTATGGTATATAAGTACATGCGGTGCCAAAGCACTGTTAACAAAAAACAAAAACAACAACAAAAACAAAAGCAAAACAAAGAACAAAATAAAAAACAAATAACAAAAAGAAAAGAAATGAGGATATGTCTAGTGTCAAAGTACCGGAGGCAAAAACGATCTTACAAGACAGTCAGGATTATCCGCCGCCAAGTTAATGAATCAACAGGTTTCCAAATAAATATGCAAAGTTCGACGTAGGAGAGACGAAGACAGCTTTATCGCCGCGGCTCGGCCGTAGAGGCGAAATTTAACTTTCAAATGGAGCGAAGTAAATAAAAAGCGAAATAATCCTTGTCGCACGGTCGATGGGCAAAAATCGATGTCTCGCCTCGCACACCCAATGTCCTCGGCCGGCGCTGCACTTTGCTCTTGACTGTCGCGCTCCTCGGCGACGTGCACTTGATCTTGCCGTGAGCGAGAAGGACGGCGCATCCCGTGCATTCCGCGCGTCTCGCCGATGCACCGGCGAAAGTCCCCTCCCGTTTCGTTCGCGCATTATCCGGGGAGAGGGGGAGATGCAGTCGCGTGCCGTGAATCGTGCGCGCGTGTACCTGCGCGCGAGTCCCCCGGAGACGGATGATACGCGAGCCGTAAGATACGGAAGGAGGTGGAGAGAAGCAGAAGGAGAAGCAGAAGGAGACGAAGATGGAGACGGAGAGAGTGACGGAGTAGAAGGAGGAGGAGGAGGATGAGGATGAGGATGAGGATGAGGATGAGGATGAGGATGAGGTTAATGATGAGGATGAGGATGAGGATGAAGAGGAGCGTGAGCTGGGAGGGGGCGGGAGTGATAGGGGGAAGGAATGGTTTGGAGCCGATATGAGAATCTCGGTGGACGGACGCGTGCTATAGTACGTAGAAGTTTCGCACCCAGGCGTTCGTGACGCGCACCAGTGTGCGTTGTATTATTTTTATGTGAGTGTTGCGCGGTTTGCGTTTACGAGTGCGCTAGACTCTTATCAATCATGCGTGCTTCCGGAGAGGTATAGGCAGCCGTGCGCGCACTCCCTCAGGATCGTTATATGATTGCGCGCACTTTTGAGCGATCGTGCGCACTCGCACGTCTACTTGTTGATCGGATGCGTGCGCGCCCATGTCCGTACACGCGTCGGACGCGAGCGCTCGCACACTTGCAGCCCGCGCATCTGGACGCACGTACATTAGGTCGGTGCGTGTGTGTCTGAGCAGCGACAAGAGGAGGATGAGGAGGTGGACGATCGGAAAAGGGAAGAGGTGAAGAAGAGGGGAGCGAAGAGCGCATACAGCAAACTGGCGAAGATGAGATGAGGTAAAGAGAGTCAGCGAGAGTGAGAGAGAGAGAGAGAGAGAGAGAGAGAGCAAGTAAGGGAGCGCGAGGTATGGAGGGCGGGAGGGAGGGACGAAGAAAGGGAGAGCGAGCGAGTGGTTGATCACCGGCGAAGGGGCTAAGGGGGTTGGACCGGTGGAACGCTCTTTTCTCTCTCTCTCTCTCTCTCTCTCACTCTCTCTCACTCTCTCTCTGATACACATACGCGATCGTATATACACGCAAGTACAGCCATACGTATTCATATATAAATGTGCGCGCGCTCGCGTGCGCCTTCGTACACAACGTATGAACGCTGTTTGGGCGCGCGCGCGTGTACGAGTGTGTGCACACGCGCACATGTTATGTATGTAGGCATGTCTTTCTTTCGCACTTGTACGTACGGGAGGAGCGCAGCGCACAAGGCAGAAGAGTAGACGAGTCGGGCGCTCTAGGGCCCCCGAGAGCGTGCCGCCGAGTGAGGTGCCGGTGGAGGGGATGGGAGGCGCGTGCCCGCGCGCCCTATATAAGGCCCCGAGCCCTCATTGCCAAGGTATTTCGGGAGCCACGATCGCCGAGTGCACGTTCCTCTAGTTCGGTTCGAGCTCTCTCGCAACATCCTTCGAAGTTCGTCGCTCACAAAGCACGAGTGCCTTAATCGAATTCTCTCGTTTGTAAGGATCGAGCTCTATCGATCGTGTTTATCAATTAGAAAGGGGTCCGGGGGCCGGTCGGTCTCTATTATTATCAATTGCCGTGCACGCGTTTTTGCGAAATTGGTGCGACGACCGAGTCTCTCCGGGGGTTGCTTAGTGTGTCATGACACTGGTGGGCCTCGAGGAGACCAACGCCAGCAGATTCGCCGGCGCGAAGCAGCACTTGGTATCCATGATGCTGAGCGTGCATCAGCAACAGCAGCAGCATTATCATCACGCCAGATCGCCCGTGTCCCATCACCATCATCATCATCTGACGTCAAGCACGAGCCCCGTTGGCCATCGCGGTAACGTCCTCGTCACAGCCGCGGCCACCGCCATCGACGCTATTAACACCAGCACCGCCGCCATCACCACTACTGCCGCGAGCACCAGCACTGCCGCTGCCGCCGCCTCATTAACAATCATTAACAACAATAACAACAACAACAACAATAACAACAACAACAACAACAACAACAACAACAACAACAACAGCAACTCTGACGTGAAAATGCAGCAGGCTTCGACTCTGCAGCAGCAACAGCAGTCCCAATCGCAGCAGAAACGCAAAATGTACGCACAGGTAACGCCGTATAGTAACTCGACGGCCAGTCATCAACCAGCCTCCGTCGCGCGGAGGAACGCTCGGGAGCGAAATCGCGTTAAGCAGGTGAACAATGGTTTTGCTACGCTCAGGCAACACATACCCCAAACATTAGCCCAGGCACTGGGAAACAACACCGCCGGCACTCACGGCGGTGCTCGCGCCGGTAGTAAGAAACTGTCGAAGGTCGAGACGCTGAGAATGGCGGTAGAGTACATAAGGAACCTGCAGCAGTTGCTGGACGAGCACGATTCCGAGGCCGGTTCATCCGCGTCATCCCCGTCGTCGGGCAGTAGCGTAGGGTCGCCCTCACCGAAGGCATCCCACTCCATCGGCTCGTCCAGTCTCATTTCGGATCTGGACCATCATCAACAACAGGCTGACATCAAGTTCGAGTTCAAATCCGAGAGCGGAGACGACGACGTTCAGGATATTATGCAACACCACCACCATCATCTCCATCGTCATCAGCCGACGGAACTCAAGTTCGAGCTCAAGTCCGAGAGCGGTGATGACGACGTTCAGGACATCGTACAGCATCACCATCACCTATCTCAACACCACCTCCATCATCATCATCATCACCACCACCATCAGCACCAAATGGGCCTGCAGCAGCAGCACAGACAGAGTCCTGTCTACATACCGGCGCCCTGCTCCGAAGCCTCGAGCTCACCGACCCCGAGCTTCGTTTCCGAGTCCTCGTCAGCTGGGGGCAGCCAGAGCTACGGCGTCAACTTTGCCAGCGCGATCTACGCTGGACACCACGACGGCTACGACAGCTACGATCCGATGAGTCCCGAGGACGAAGAGCTCCTGGACTACATCTCACTGTGGCAGCAGGGCCAATGAGTCACCGCACCCCGGACGTTCCTTTCATTAGCGGCCGCCTTGCGAGAGACTGGCACATGCTCTTGCCCTCAAGTGAGGTTAGTATCGTATGACACTCCACTTTAACACTTGTATTTATGGTCGATAATTTGCATTACCTACGATTTAATAACATCGCGTGTATCGTCTTAATACAACTAATAAGATTAATCGACGATATTCTCGAAGGATGCTTAAGGATTGCAATATACTTAGTACGTAGAGTAGCTTGTAGAACTCGTCGTCGAGAGCCGAAGAGACGGCATGTGATTTTTGTTATTGTTCCGCTTCCTTTACCTCTTCCTCGTCCTCTTCCTCCTCCTACACCACCTCCTCCTCCTTCTCCTCCACCTCCTCCACCACCTACTCCTTCTCCACCTCCTACTCCTGTTTTTCCTTACCCTTGTTTTTCTTATTTATTTATTTTTTTTATTTCATTTTATTATTATTATTATTATTATTATTATTAATATTTTTATTATCGTAGTTCATTTTTTGAAAGCCTTGCATCATTCTCATTGATTTGTTTATTACGTCGTTATAAGCCAAGACCATTATTTTATATATTTATGATATTCATATGTTTTTACAAAACGAAGCGACAGAATTACATTATCGCTTAATTGAATTATGACATCGTAATTTACTGTTATTTCATTGTAAATATACGTAATTTACTAATTCAAATTGTTACAAATTGCATATTGGCTGCATGAATAATTATCCGGCCTACAAAAATAATTATTATAGCAATACTAACATGGGCCCACGCACACGTAACGGCATAACTCGCCAATATCAATATCGCTTATCCGCCCTTCACTCATTTATTCGGTTGATTTTGGAATTTTTCCCCAAACTTTCCCAAATTATCAACACTTCTCAATTCTGGACATTTCCACCCCCATAAAATTCATTAACGAGGGTTGCCCTATCTCCCTTAGGTTCTCCGTTCGCTTCGCCATACCCCCCCCCCCCCCCC